CTCAGGAGCTAAGTAAAGGGAGATTCCATGTGCATTTTTTCCAGTGGAAAAAACTTTTCACAATTGAGGTCCCAAAAACAAATTTATTATTGAGGATCAGGTGCCTTCCTGGTCTACTACCTTGAAAATTTGTTTAGGAGCAATGTTTTATAAAGGGTTTAATTGGGTTCAGAAGGAAGGGAGGCGGAGTGCAGGTGGACAGGGTTCAGAAGGAATTCAAACCCTCATTAATTGGGTTTCCAATTTAACGATTTAGGGCCAAAAAAAAAATTAGCATTATAGAGGTACCATGTTTCAAACAGGGGGGTCTGAATAATTTTGGAAACATTTAGCATTATAGAAGTCCCCTTTACTAATCGTGATCCAACATTACTAGTAAGGCCAGGAGCTACTAGTAGCGTCCTTGCTCCTATTTAGAAAAGAAACGGGAAAATGCGCAGAACGCCCGGCGGTGCATGGTTGTTCTATAGAGTTTCGTAGTAGTGAACAGGGTGTCAGTTTGGGCGTGCTGCTGGTCGACTTCACCTTTCGCCTTTTGACGCACTGAAGAACTGGCAAACCTGCTGAAAGGGAACATGCATTGAAGACTCTCCTGTATCCCTCTTGGATGATTTGTCTGAAAGTATGGTAGTGGGCTATGTCTATGTCACAATAAGTCTCTCAGTGTGTAAGAACAAGCTTGTCCAAAACTGACATGGCTGGTTCGGAACAGGCTCCCCTCTTCGCTTCAACTCTATCCTGTGCCAAGGCCTTACAAATATGTGTAGGTGATTTAAGAGAAGCAACCATACACCCACCGGACTGCTTTCAAGAAGGGCAAGGAATAGTCCTCCGCCCTTCACAGTACCGACATATGACTGCAGCCGATGCGTGTCAACTACAAGGCCTGGTGCATTGCGCTATGCTGGGCCGCGAGAGGTTGTGAGCATCGACATGGGCTGGAAAAACCATGAAAAACCAACCTTTCCCCCACCACATCAACCACCAGTCAACCAGGAGTCAACCAGTCTTTGGTGGGCTTCCCGGCGTGTCCTCCCACAAAGGCGGGTTCAATGCCATGGCTGCTCCCACGGTCCATTGACCGCAGGCTCGCTCGGTGCAGGGTATCAGGTTCCAGTGTTTGCTCGTTGGGCACGGGAAACGCTCGCGAGTTGTCGTTCTGACCCAAAGCTGCAAACCCAACGACCGTCCCGAGAAGTTGGCAAACAAGTTTAATTTGAGCTGGCTACTCCCTGGGCAGGGGGTGTGACTTGAACGCAAAACAATGTGAGACAGGGCATCAGTCATGCCAAGCGGGTTGCTTGACTGACAAAGCGCGACCTCGCACCACTTTCCAGACCGACGATCAACATATACGCACGAATCACTCACAAACGCATCAATGGATAGGATATAAATCCGATCGAAATTGTTATAGCTTTGTACTGCCCATATTGACGTCTCAGATCACCTTGCCATCAAGGCCTTTACTGCAAGCAAATGGCTGCAAGTCACCACGCGTAGCAGGCACACATGTTTACTGGGCCCTTCAAGAAGGGGCCAGAAAATGGTCCCAGACCTGAGGAGAAAGAAGTTTCCATCAACTTAGGTCCTTGACCAAAGGCTGGCAACCCACCAACAACGGGATTGGGCTGATGAACATGTTGTTGGCCGATCAAGAGATGCAAATGAGACAGGTGCCCGCACCTGCTCCACCAAACAGCCTCCTTCAAGCATTGGAAGGTCTCGTGTACAGCCTCACGCTTCCTGGCGTTCGGGTCACACGGTCAAAAAGAGGTGACGCTCTCCCATGGGACCATGGGACCATCGAAAGAGGTCGCAAAACACATTTCGAATGGCTTCTTCCAAGAAAAAATGCCTTGTAGTTACTAGTGGCTTCTTGTTACTAGTATATAGTAATGCCAGGAGCTACTAGTAGCGTTCTTGCTACTAGTAGCGATGCGCTTGTTACTAGTAGCGATGCACTTGTTACTATCGCTTACCCTTCCAAGGGCCACAAGACAAGCCCACCTCTCAATGACCTCGAGCACGCTACTCTCGGCTTCCAAGCTGTGAGCCTCACCGTCCAGGACAAAGCGGTGCAGATGCGACCCCACGAATCGCAAACACCAGGGGGTCAAGTGTTACTAGTAGCTTCTTGCTCCTACTAGTAGTATGGCCAGGAGCTACTAGTAACTAGTAGCTAGTAACTAGTAGCGTTCTTGCTCCTAGTAGCGATGCCCTTTGTTACTAGTAGCGATGCCCTCAAAATCATTCACTGCTTCTCAATCATTATAACTTATAACATCTTCAAAGTCCAAATACACAAACCTCACATGCGGACCTGGGCTGTGAAAAGGTCACTAAAGACTAAAGATCCATCGAGAGAAAAGTGCAAAAATGCATAAGGGGTGATTGATAAGCACCTTCATCACATCCTTCTGGGTGAACAATGACTCCAAGGTTTTGGCGCCCACCGCGTCACCGTTTTGCCCAGAATGAACCGTCCGTGTCGCCGAAAGTCTCGCCTCCATGAGCTCGAACAACGCGTTCACCTGACGCGACGAGGTGTCGTGGCTCCTAAAGGCCTTGAACCAATCCATAAACCGAACGGAACAACCCGTGAGACCCCGTGAGACTCTCCAAATCCAATCCCCCCTCACCGGAACTGCAGAACACCCCCCGAGGGGTCGCACGAAGGACCTGACCGGCCACCGGCGCCCCACCGCGCGGCGTTCCGCGGCCTGGAACTCCAAGCTTCGGATCACGGGCCCCAAGGGCTCCTGCTCCGAAGGCCTCGCCCGCTCGACCCGACGGAGACGGAGGGGACAGACTGAGGAGGTTGGGACCTACTCCGACCCCGAACAAGCCGAGTCGACCATCCGCCCAGAGAGGGGGGCGGACCAGCTGCCGGCCGAACCCCAGAAGTCTCTGACCAGCCGCATCCCGCCCATCCGTCAAACTCCTTAGGCAAACCGGGTGTTGGGCGTTCACCTTCAGGTGACCCAGTTGATGCGGTGAGACGGAAGATCGGAGCGATGGCCATGTTTCAGAATCGGGTCGTTTGGGATGCCCCGAGCAAGCGATGTGAAGGGTCTCCGACGAACCACTGGAACTTGGGCAAACCCCTCCAATCAACTTTATCTGGGTCACTAGGGGATGTGCAACTGAAAATGAACTGATGGGAAAAGTCTTGGGGGATTGACACTCGGTCGGTGAAGAGTCCATAGACCGCTCGGTCAATACTCTTGCTTGAAAGGGTTTGGCGCTCCTCAACGAAAAATACAAGAGTTTGTACAGTACAATCTTACAGGCCTTTTTGAGTTCTTGCTGTCCCGATGTTTAGACGTGTTTTTTGCGTTGCATTCTTCTTTGCCTTTTCGCCTGAAGGATTCTGCTTGCAACTGTTCTTAGCAAGATAAAGGAGTGTCTAGAGATTGTAAGATCTGTTCCTCTGCAAATCCAGTGCACAATCATTCTCCAAGGTCCCAGCCAGTGGTAGGCATAGTCAAGAAGGCTATCAGAAGCATCAGAGGCTTCCTGGGCAATTCACTATGCGGTGGTGTATCTTCTGGCAACCCACATCAAATGGCATGCAAATATAAAGCATTAAAAGGCTGTATGCAACATGCCTTGTCGCTCCAACATCCTCTGAAAGAAAACCAAGTCTCCACAGAACGCATCCAGGATTCAAACCCGGCCAATGGAATTCATGTGCAAAAAGCAACACAAGACGGGCCCGTCGTCCCTCAGCTCCATTTCTGCATCCAAGCCTCCACCGGAACTGCCGATGGCTCCGCCGAAGGCTGTAGCATTTCAACCTCCCACAACCGACGCTCTCCTTGCCCTTCGGGCACCTTTGCTGGGCTGCGTCGTTCCGTTCGCCGCCTCGGCCTTGCCGGCCGTTCCTCCGGCTCCAAGCCCAGGTGCTGGGCCAGATCCCGCAGCGCCCGTGACCGCACCGGCGACCCCCCAGGCCGCGCCCGCGGCGCGGTCCGCGGCGCGCGCCGGAGCGACCCGGACCAATCGGCGGGCGTCATCGGCTCCGGCGCCGGCGCCGGCGAGGGTGCCGGCCGCGGCAGGGGCTTCGGGCGGGCGAAGGCGACGCGCCGCGTCTCCCCGCTGGGGCGGGGTTCCGGGGGCTCGTCACGCCAAGTCAACTTGGGCGCTGACCTGAAGCGTCGTACGGCTTCAGTGGTTGAAATTCTGGCTGGGTTGGTATTGGTTGCCAGGGGATAACTTCAAAGTTTCGCCTTCGAAGGTGCAATTGTGTTCATACAACGCTGATGTGCTCTCCAGTCGCTGGCGACTGGTCTTGCGACAAAAGCTGTTCAAAGCGAAAGGGATGCCATCAAGCTGTGGATTTGATTTCTCAAGCCATTTTCAGCAATTGGTCAGCTCTTACAGATGCTTGCTTGCCACCACGATGGTGAAATGTCATCAAAGGGCCTCTCCCTCTGTCTCACTCTGTCCCAGTCTTCCTGCCTTGCAACAGCGGGGCTGTGCTGGCTCTTCAGCGACATGGCCTTCTGATGCAGCGCTCTTGACTCTAATGCAAGTAAACCACTCAATATAACACAACATCTGTGCCACCATGGTTGGGGCACAACAAATTAAAGAAAACACATTGCATTCTTCTCAACAATCTCCAGCCATTCTTCCGGGTCACGTGAGGTCAGGCAGCGGCCATCGAACGATCTGGCCGCTTGTCCCTCTTTCGGCTCATCGCTCCCAGCAAATCGGCCATTTTGGTGTGCTTCAACAACCCCCTTCTTCATACAATTTGTAGGGTGAGCCCTGTACAAGCACCTCTCAAAACAAGGACTAAGGAAGGGTCAAATTCATTCAGCCAGTTTTACCTCCTTTCACCCCCTTGATTCCACCATCTCGCCAGCTCCAAGGCCCGGACCCCCGGCCCTAGGCGTGGCACCGCCAAGCTCAAGTCCGGCGAGGTCTGGGGGCCGAGCGCCTGGGTGTTATACTTGTGAGACGTGTGAAGAAGTGTCTTCTTTGGGGCAATGAGATGGGTACCATTTAAGTTGACCTACCCTAGTAGCGGCCTCCAACCTACTAGCGATATGGCCTCCAACCGATCGGTTGTACACTTGGGGGGTATCCTCTCCATTGATGAACTAATGGTAAAAGACCATCTGCCCCAGGTGTCTCCGAAATGCAGGAGACAATCCCGGCGCTGTGACCATGAATGAAATTGGCGCATGTGAGTCATGTGAGGTACAAAGGAACAGTAGTGGGCAAGATCATGGCCTCTCTAGTCATCCCCTGGTTCCTTCTAAGGTGCCGGCCATCGAAGCAGTCCATGGACATCAAGGCTCCAGCGGGGAGATTACATTCATGAAAGAACGATTACATGTCTATGCCGCTGCTGAGTTGCTTTTAGGGCGAGGGCTAACCAGTGCAGAAGTCAGCTTTGAGGGCTGGGGGATGGTCGTGCGAATGGAGGTTTGAAAATGTATAGATCGGCACCTGGCAAAATGGTCCGTTCATGGACTTCTCCTGGATCTCTCATGATCCGACCTTGACCCAAGCTGGTGCGATCAAAGGTCTGCTGTGCCCAAATGGACAAATCACTGGAGGATCGGAGGAACTCTTCAAAAACCTCAAACTTATTCTTTCAGAAACCGGATCTTCTGATTCCACGGACGAAACCGTCATTTTTGGATCCACAGCTCCGCTCCGACAGCTCCGTGGGGAACGTGTGTACACCGAGAACGCAGGCGACCTACTAGTATGCTGGAATGTATTCTGAGGCCACTTTGGAGCAAGTCATTGTCCCTGAGAAATCATCGAAATGGATGGCATGGTCCCTTGGAAAACCATTTTCCTCTGTGCTTTGAGGTGGTGAACTTCCAGGGAGCGGCGCCGGAACACGTCTCGGTCTGGAACGGCTCTTGCAAACGGGCTCTCCCTTCGTGTCGTTTCTCCGATAGGTGTCACCTGGAATCATACTGTTGACGGACAAAATCATGCAACCCTGCATCAATGCATGTGATGCATGTGGGAGGAACCGATACTAAGTGAGCCCCCCCGAAAAAAGGGCAAATTCAATGTTGCTGCGGCTTGCAAATAGGTGATGTAGGATGTTGGCCATGTAACTTTTTGCTGTGTGAGGTTTGTTCTCAAGCAAATGTGAAAAAGGAAGCATGAAAAGGTATTTCTGCTCGTGGAAGGTTTTATCCATCAAGCATGTCAGTGGCCAAACAACTGCTGCGTGAAGATGTTTAGACTGTGACCCTTTATGTGCCTTCATGTTTGGTTGTACAAGCAGCCAAACGCTTCCTTTTCACCAAAAACAAGAGCGGAAGGGAAGTGAATCGAAATTGCTGAGCTACCTAGAAACCGAGCTGGGCTGGAAGGTCGGAAAACTTCTCGCCAAAGACGCCCTCCTGAACACACATGCCGATGGTGGCCATCATTGCAAGGCGACCATTGGACAACTCCTTTGTCTTCATCTCATCCATCTTCTCCCCGGTGATGCCGAAGATATTTGCGAAGTCGCAAGGGTCACCATAATTGCCAGGCTCCTTGGCATAGGCATCTGACCAAGGACCGGTCTCTAGGAAGGCACAAGCAAAGGTCAATGCCACGCAGCCCTTGGCCCCAATAGGATCTTGGAAGCCAGCAATGCCAGCAGGCGCTCCCAGAGGCGTGGCCCAGTGCCCTGCAAAAGCTCCCAGGATAGCAAGCATGGCGATTCGCCCATGCTTCACTTCCGCTGCACGGAACTTGTCGAAGCGCTCCTGGGTGCCACTCAACCCAAGGGGGTCGAAGTAGCCAAGAGGAGCAATCGCTCCTGGCAGGGATGATCCATCAAAGGCCCTGCGGCTTTGGAGGCTCTGTTCCGCACGCTCAGTCTTTGCCATCAGCGAGGTTCCACAGAATGCTCCTGCTCTTGTAGTTGTCTTCACAGGAGCAGTGGCAAACTGGCCAATCGCTGAGTTTCCCGTGTAGAGCTCAGCACTGACAATTCCGAGGAAGGCAAACATTGCAAAGCGGCCGTTGTTCAACTCGCGGTTTCCTGCTCTGCTCATCCGCAACTCCACTCAACCGACACCCCTGCAAACTCCCTCTCTCTCTCTCTCTCTCCGTATCTCTGTATCTCTATCTCTGTATCTCTCCATCTATCTCTCTCTCTCTATCTATCTATCTATCTATCTATCTATCTATCTATCTATCTCTCTCTCTCTCTCTCTCTTTCTCATCACATCTACAAGTAAAGCAGCTTATACAAGCCGAAAATGATCGAAAATGACTATACAAATCTGAGGCTCGAATGTCATCAGTGATGTTGCCCTTGGCAAGGTTCAATGGGTCACCAAAGTTTCCGGGATCCTCAGGGTCCTCCTTCCAAGGAGAAAGGCCAATATCGAAGCAGCCAATGGCACAGAACAAGAGCCACAGGGCATTGCTCCCTGGTTCAGTCCACTGAGCAGCAAGGCCTGATGGGACACTCTCAAAGCCGGGGAACTTGTAGACACTCTGAACCAAAAGGCCGACAGATCCCATCATGGCCCCACGTGCATGCCTCAACTCAATCGAGCGGAGCTTCTTGAAGCCCTTCTCATCGATATCTTTGGTGAAGCCTGCCGGGTCGAAGAAGCCAAGGGGCTTTGTTGCGCCCACCTGCTTGCTTGGATCAAAGGCATAGCACACAGAACCGCCGGCCCGAGCAGATTGCCGCTTGGTAGTCAGAAAGGATGCCACAGCAGTCACAGCAGCGGCGCCCAGGACACCTCCAGCAGCAGTCGAAGTCTGAGTCTTGGCTGCTGGCTGAGAGACTTGCGCTCCTCGCAATTGGGAACCTGGGCTCGAAGAACTTGGGGCCAAGAAAGCTGGGGCCGCAAGTGCCCCAACAGTGATCGCCGCAGCACCAACTCGGCTCATGACTAGCCTGTTTCAACTTTCCCCGGTTTTCCAATAAAAAACTTGGGCCAAGCAGGTACATGACATGCATTTAACTAACACAGAAACGAACATCTGCTCTCTTGAAAGACGCAACTGTCAAAGAAAAAGAACTGTAGCCAGCCAACCATTGGGAGGAAGTTGTAAGACTAACACAATTGTTTTTAATCTGCTCGATGGCAACTTGTCGAACAGTTTGTTGTTTGAACCGTTATAAGATGGTTTGGACGTGAAAAAAAAAATTGGTTCACCTTCACTGTCGGCCTCACTGATCAGCTGATCAGCTATGCAGGTACACTGCAAACCCCATGTGCATGTGAGGAAAATGGCAAGCTTAACATGCAAACATTCGAGAGATGCCAAACGGACCATTTGTCCACCATAATGCAATCAGACAGTGTCAAATGCTGGCCGCGCAAGCCAACAGGAGTCTCCATTGCACATAGACATGCACTGCGACAAGCACGAGAAAAGCTGACATCGCAACTCTTACAAATGCAGCGCTGTTGAATTATAAAACAACTGACAAACCAAAACAATTCCACCAATCACCGAAAGCATAACCCAAAGAAACACACATCCTCATACATCATGCAAACTGAAGAGACGCAACATCAAAATCAACCACCCAACTACATTGTTTGCGCTCAGGATGCAATCATTGAAAAGTAGAACGATGCAAGTCTTGATCCTCTCTCAAAACATGAACTAAGCTTGCGGACGCTGAAACTAACCCAGCGGACAACCCCAATAGCCAACCATCCGCCAAGATCTGGCGTATCTTTTTCTGCACGCGAAAGTTGCGGACATACTGCATGCTAAAAACAAACGAAATGCAATCCAATACGCAGTTTATACACAAAGTTAGGCAAGCAATTTCAATAGCCAAGCAAAATCGCTGGTCCATAGACCACGAAGCACTTATATAATAAAAATTTGCCGATGGCCGATGGCCGACTTGTATGTTCAAGTGTTCAAGTCTCTGTGGCGCATGGTGTATACGTCTGAACAACCATCAAAAAAGCACAACAAAAGATTCGCACCAAGGAGAGGTGTACTGGGGAGGCCCTCTGTGGCGAGACCGGTTTTTGCTAGGGTTTTTGGACCCAAACGGGTGTCCACAAAAAACTTTGTTTCAAGCCTTTGCATTTGCAAAACCAGTGAGATTTGAGAACTGTTGGGGAGAACGTCTGCCCCTCACCCTTAGGATCCTCGGGGCTCCGCTACCATGTGAAAACACAGTAGCAACGCTCCCTTTTCGGTCCCGCTCCTTGAGCCAAAGTTGCAGTCATTTATAGACTGTCTTCAAATGTCCTCTTAGCTTCTTAGAAGCACTTCCACTCTTCTTGAAAGAGTACATGACTGTACCTAGTCATCTCCAAACTACACAGACTAGGAAACTGCATCAAACAGTCTCTAAAGACATCGTGCTCTACCAAAAGGTTCTCTAAGCAGCTCCTAGCCACAAGTTGCCACTTCAAACATCCTCCTGCTAAGGTGGTCAAAGGTCAAACGCAAAAAGGGCACAGACCTCCACTCAGCTCCAACCCCAAGCACTCCAAAAACGAAAATTCCCTAAAGAAGCAAGCACTAGGTGAGCCATACACTGTACACGTGCGCTGCACGCTACTTTTCACATATTTTCCTATGCAGGTCCTTGCGCCGCTAAAAACGGACTTTAGCTGACTTTCTCCTTGAAAGGCACTGGTTCCCGCAACACAAACTAGTTGGCATTTGTCGATGGCTGCGACTGGGACCACTTTTGGACCCCTCCATCATGCACGCAGTGTCACTGTTTGGTTGTTATCTCCGGCAAGGACACGTTGCGCTTCCGGCCTTTGATTGAATTGGTTGGCGACAATTGGTTCATGACCATTGACCATTGGTTGGTGACAATTGGTTGGTGGAAATTTGTTGTTGGGAATTGGTTGGTGACAATTGGTTGGTGACAATAAGTTGGTGGCAATTGGTTGGTGACAATTGGTGGGTGGCAATTTGTTGGTGACAATTTGTTGGCGACAATTTGTTGGTGGCAATTGGTTGATGACAATCGGGTTGATGACAATTGGTTGGTGACAATTAGTTGGTGGCAAGTGGCAATTTGTTGGCGCAATTTGTTGGTGACAATTGGTTGGTGACAATTGGTTGGTGGTGACAGTTAGGCAATTGGTTGGTGACAATTGGTGGGTGGCAATTGGTTGGTGACAATTGGTTGATGACAATCGGTTGATGAAAATTGGTTGGTGACGATAAGTTGGTGGCAATTGTGCGTTAACCCATCTTGGACCTATCTTGGGCCTCTGTTGGCTCATTGGGGTGCATTTTGCGCCATTTGCGTTGACATAGGCCCATCACCACAGAAATTCCGATCATGCAAGTCCGTGCGGCGCACGTGACCGACACCACCCTTGTAAAACCTACAGTTGTTGTATTTCGCCGCTGTCCAAATTTTTGGTTCTTCCACACCCACAAAACCCTGTAAAACACAATGTTTTGAACACCACGCACGCAATTTTTTTTTTGCACGGGTAAGGGCGCTATGTGTGCCGAGAGGCACAAGTCACCATGACGAATTCGAATGGGCGGTACGCGGAATGAGCCTGACAAGAACGACCAGCAGAACCAAACCAAACCCCAAAACCAAACACAACACCAAGCAAAACAACCAACAAACCAGAAACAAAAGGGTCAGGCTCAAGTCCGTACGAGTCTAAAAGAGCAAAGGTGCAGATCCGAGGACCAACACAGTAGTGAAACGGGGCAATGAATTCATATCCAGCCGCTCTCAGTAGAGGACGTCCAGGGCGAAACTGCATTCTAATGCAATCTGCGTTTGGGCAGGAGTGTATTCCTTCAGCGGTGCACAGCGTGCGGAGATGCCAGAGCATACTGAAAGCGAGAGTAAGGTGCAATTCAGGTTCGATTAGGTCCATGCAAAGCAAGGCACTGCACAACTTGTATCTAAGAATGCGCGCGCGCCAAAAACCTAGGGGGTCTCACAGTGACCCAGAACGTGGCGGTAGCACTTCACCTCTGCAAAGCAAAACTTCAGCATACTCGTATCTTGGCTTGTTCCTAGTGCACTGGGCAAGTTGGCCAAAAGTCGGGAAGGAGAGACGAAGGGCATGGGGGCCTATCAGCAGCAGGTGCATGAGCTTTGGCCTAACGAGTCATGTTGGGAGTTCAGGCTAGGTACCTGGCCTCAACTTATGCTCTTGCAGTCATTCCACTTGGCTGCAATTGAACTTGTACATGCTGCTACAGCATCCAGGACATTTCAACAAACAGGAGTCTCCGCAGCAGTGTGCCAGACAAGCGGAGGCACGGGTGGATCAGGACATCTGCAAGCAGGTCACCGCCTCCCCCAGCGGGGGAGGCAGGAGCACACGAGACCAGGTGACAGTGCCAAAGGACAAAAAGGCACTGTGCCAACCGGGTCTCCAAGGGCCGTCCGTCTCAGACAGCTTACCTATATGACCATTGCAAAGGACAAAAAGCAAGCGTGTTGTCGAGTAGCGCCTAAGGAGGTGCCGCTGTGGCCCTGGGTCACTCGAGCGCTTCAGAGCTCGGTCTGTCATGCAAGCCCCATGAACTAAGTGAAACATCTGGGTGAAACGTCGCTATTCCTAGCGCTAGTCTTCTGTACACTGTACCATCCCTGACCACCTCTTGGAAGGCAGCCAGGGGAGCTGGCTATCTACTCACTGGCGCGGGCAGGGCCGGTAGCAAAATCAGTGAAGCCGAAAGGCCTAGGCCTTCTGCATTCTGCCCTTTGGCCCGTGGTACAATTGCCAGGTCATTACATACTATTTACGAACGTGTCGTATCACTCAGAGTGGCTTCTGCACAACTGATCATGAATTCTTCCCACTCTTCTTTCACTGCATCTGGCGTTGGAAGAGATCGAATCCACACTGCGAGTGTTAATTTGGTACACATTTCAAAGGTGTTATGCTCAACATAAGTCCCTCTCCACGCTCCTTTCTTGCCTTTCTTGCCCATCCGAACGAGTCTGCAGAGCTGTGTACAGTCAGCAAAAGCTCGCTTGTTGATGTATAACAAGGCGGGTGGAGTGTGTAGGACCTCTAATGAGCAGCTACACTTCCTGAAGGCTTCTCTGCCAATGCGCCTCAGCGTGCTAGACAATTTAATGCACTGCAGTTGGCTGCAGCCTGCAAAGGCACTTCCTACGATTTCCTGAATGCAGGTGCGGGAGATGTCCACTGTCTGCGATCGTGCGCAGTGTTCAAAGGCTGATGGTCCGATCCAGCTAAAATCATTTGGGAGATCAATCGTTTCCAGCCCTGTCCCTAGGAAGCACCCTTCCGGGACGATCCTGTGCGGGTCTCGTGGGTTATATTTGGTCCTGTCCAGGCCAATTGTCCGCAAGGTGCGACATTTCTCAAATGTTCGAACATTGAGCCTCGCCTGCGGCGCTAATTGATTGCTTCTTTGGTCTGGGTCTCCAACCCAGGCCAACGCATGGCACTCCTCGAAAGCCCAGCAGCCGAAGTTAATACACCCCGGGGCAGTGACTGTATGGAGCACATAGCAGCATCGAAAGGCTCCCTCTTTCAAGCATAGTAGTGTACTAGGCAAGTGCACTATGAGGAGCCTAGTGCAGTGCTGCCAGGCAGCTTCCCCAATGGTGTGTATGCCTGCTTCGATTCGCAGGTGCCTAATATCGCTCGAATGCGTGAAGGCGTGGGGGATCACCTGCCCTGATCTGGTGACAGGCACTCGGATTGCTTTTGCATTCTGCCTCGTCTGGCCTTTGTGCTCTGCGCACTGACAGCATTGGCGGACGACTATCTGAAACTGGTTGCAATCTCTGAGGGTGTCCCACACCGGACTGCACAGGAGCTGCCCGGTGTCTTGTCTAACAAAGGTGAGTTCACAACCAAATGTGCTGGTGCCTCCTATTGTGGGGAGCTGCTCTAGTACTGCAGTTTCAAACTCATTAAAGCGATCAAATTCCTGGAGATCGACTATGGCTTGGTATTCTTCTCCTGAGAGAGACGTTAACTGCAGGT